ATTTTATTTTTAATATAGATGTAATTATATTTTTTTAATTAAAAAAGTGATGACTCCAATGAGAAATTTTTAGTTATGACCTTTACATTCAAATCAATATACATTACAATAAATAAAGGATTTTATGGTAATTATTTAGCCATAGTACTATTTTACATAAATGTTGCTAAAGATTTTTGCGATTATGAATTCTTTAAATCGATTACCACAAAATATTATGGAAATAAATATCATCACTAAAAAAATATATTATCACTAAATGTATTTTTTTTTTATATTATTGATACAATCCATGTGAACAAAAAAAACCATTTGCTTGGCTTTATAATGTTACTAACTTGGTACTGTATAATTTATTTATTATGCAAAGATAAATATCCAGTATAATGACTTTTTTTTTAACTGTATTTACTTGCCAAATTTATAACTGACACACTTATAAAAAAATAATTGATATGATCATCTTTTACCTACTGTCACTTTATTAGGGGCGAAGTTACGGTGGTGTCAAGATGTATAGCTGAACACATTTCGTTGAAAAATACATACTATATATAAGTCAAATCTTACTTTATATATATATATATATATATATATATATATATATATTATTTTGAACTCCCTCAAAATTGATGGAGACCTGTAGCACAATAACAAGGGTATCCACGAAACTTACATGGTGCCCAAATTTGATTCCTTGCATGCACATTTTTTATTATTATTATGGTCAAATTTCTTTTGTTTTTTTTTTCAATATTTAATATTTATATTGACAACAGTGTATCGAACAAATATAATTCATTGTGATAAATGAAGTGGATCTATTTAGTTTTATTTTATGTTTTAAATCTGCTTCAAATCTATTAGATATTTTTTAAAAAAAACGCATCTTCAACGTGAAGTGAGCAGTAAGCAGTAGCTCAATGGTAATTGTGTACAGAAGTATGCAGGGCATGCAAGATTGAATTCATATGGAGTTATTTACTATCATAAGTTTGGACACTCTTCATAAAAAAAAAATCGGAAAACATGTCACTATATTAGGCGAAAATAAAAAAACTGATGGCATGTCCTATTGTTTTCAATTTATTTTGACAGAATCGTTATAGCACCAAGATGACCGCATAGCGCAGTGGATTAGCGCGTTTGACTTCGGATCAAAAGGTCGTGGGTTCGACTCCCACTGTGGTCGGATGTGTTTTTTACAATGAAAAATGTTTTCTCCTGCAATTTTATTTTTTGCACTTACACATTTGATATTTTAAACAAAATATTTAGATATTTAAAAACTATACAAAAATGTTATAAATTGCAATTTTTTGCATATCAATATGATGAAAAAATATTGTTAGTCAAAGTTATTATAGATTGACTCTAAAAAAAAGAAACAATGACAATTAAAAATGAATAGAGGAAATAAATCAGATGGATTTTAATTCTTAAATTGGTTTTAATATTCCACATAACTTGGATCTAATTATACCAAGGCAACAAAATGGCCATTTGGTTGTATAGCGCTCAGTTCTCACCTCTCTATCAATGTTTGTACTTTCAAAATATTCACTATTAAAAGAAAAGGTCAAAATTGATCCGACTTAAGTTTGTAATTCAAAAAAAGTTTGATCGGAAAATAAAACCAACCTTGGAAGGATGTTTTTCCACTTAATCTCAATTCTCAATTATGCATTCACGTTCAATATTGAACACTAAAAATCTTGAATTGACGCATAAGCTTCATTATATATCAATACATAAGAAATTGAAAAAACTAACATTTTTTTTAATTCAAATTGCAAAAGGATTCGAGATTTAACACCAAAAGCGAGCAAATTAATTTAGTAACAAAAAGATTAGATAGTAATCGAACTCCTCCAAAAAAAAAACACCTACTAAAAAGGGATTGTAAGCAGTCACAGAAGGAATAATAAATAATAATATCATCACTTGACCGACAGTCATACAACAATGTGGAAGGACAATCATTCACTCACTAAGAACCTTCAAACGATAAGACGTAAATGCCAAAAGTGATGACATGAACGAATTCGTTACTTCAATTCCGTCACTCTCAACCTTTAAAGAGATTCAATTTGTGTTATTTGACAAAACTTCGAAGTAATTTAATTTTGTGTTTTATTTTTCAGTATTAAATCACAATAATAATAATAATTTTTGAAATATATTCCAACGTTAGTCTACATTAATCGCAATAAGATATCTGAAAACTTGTGTGGAACATGATTTCTTCATTTATTAAGCTAGCTAAATCGGAATAATAATTATAGATTTTCAGGAAAGTTTTTAATACTTTTATTCTATAACTTTATATAATTCAAACATAGTCTGATACTACTAATATTTATGTAATTTGTATATTATGTACTTATTGATATGGGTATATGCACAAAGCGCATACCTGTTAGAATGAAGGCGGCCAACTAGTGATCACTGAATCAGGTACTCCTCCGACAGAATAATAGCGCGAAAAATAAATAAGTACTTAAAGTAAATCAAGCACAAGGATTTTACGTGAAAATCTCCTTTCTCAAGGGCAGTGAAAACCATGACCTGTACTCACATGGTTTCAATCCAAACTTCATTCACTCAAACAAAGCAAAGTTTCAGATTACAAACTCTTGCAACCTAAGAATTAACTCTTAATCCCTTACCTTTACTGTAACTCTACTACAAAGGAAAACAAAGCAATAACTCTATTGCCCACTAAACCAACTCTAGTTAATCTAGACTTCAAGAACCCAACAAGGCTAACTCTAGCCACCAACTTCGATTTCGACGATAAGAGCATAAACAAGCAGCAACCCTGTTGCACCACACATCAACTAATTCTAGTTGACACTCCTAGGCAACTCTACCCAAGAAAACATCAAAACAATGATGTAAAAAGGCTTGACTAAAACGTAGATGATTCTACTAACTCTAGTTAATACGACTCAAACTAAAGACTTAGACAAGTAACCGATCTACTATCCCTTTATAACTTAGGAGTAAATTTACAATATAAGAACATAAGACACAAAACTCAAAATACAACAACGAAACTTCAGCACTCCATCAGATCCTTTGTTGAGTATGAGCAGTGTTCTTCCTTGAAGATGACTTCTTGTTTTTGAGCTTATAAATTTTCAGAAATTCAAAACTTTGTTTGCCAAATCTTAAGTTTGTGTTTAGAGAAGAGACTATTGTCAAATGGACACAAACCCTTCGGACAAGACCATTGGCTTAGAATTTGCTACTTTGAAAAGTCGTGCACCAACCATGTCATATGCGACAACTGTCTTTTGACTTTTTCATGTACGCAGTCTGTCCTTGACCAAGTCTCTTGTTAGATCTGAAAGTTTGTTAAATCATCAAAACTTCAAATCAGCTTAAAATAACAATACCTAACACTAGTACGTTCGTACATATATATTGCGATGTGATGTTATAAACTCAGCATATAGTGTTTGTGCATGTAGTAGCTGTACGAATTTAGCACTTGTTATTATTCAACCCTTGTGTAATACCAAGGGTACAATTCATTGTTTCATAAACGGCCTTTCCGGTTCAGCAAAGATTGGTGCTCTTTAAATTTTCTAAGTCCCATTACTCTGAAATGAACGTACATCAAAATAATTCTCATCATTTTTCAACATTATGATACATTGTATATTGACAAATGATAAAAACAAAGTCTTTGACATCAAACAATATTAATAATCATGCCCAAATAGTAAAGTACCCCATGAATCATCATGTCTTATTACCCCTTCATGAATTGCTAAGGTTTTTTAGAAAATTTTCTTAATATTGGATATGATCAAAAGACGTTACTCATGAGTCCGCCTGGTTCCACGTTCTCACATTTTTTACTCTTTTGGTGACTCGAATTCACAACTTTAGAGTTGAAAGTTGAGAGTGATTATCACCTGAGCAACATGTCTAGCTCGGCACACGTATGCTTATAGTCACTTCGTTGGGACGAATCTTTATAGGTAGAAAGGGAATGGTATTAAATACTAGCAATTGGGTATGGTACTAGAAGTTCATTTGTCAACGATGACAGCAAGATTCACTCTGCGGCTCTGCCTACCAGGCTTAATTTATTAATTTGGGCCTACCTTCTTAAATCAATACCCATCCCATCCAAATTCCAATCCACCAGAATTTAAAGAAAAACGATTAATAATTCACTTCGGAATTTAATATTAATTGAATGCATTGACTCGTGAAGGAATGATTGAATCACCCGATCTTGTCTGACGTTACTTAATTTAGGCAAGGATTCATAGTTATACACTTCGGATTGCTAATAATTTGTTGCAAGTAAAGATATCTCGATCATGACATAGTCAGGATTTGAAGCTTATGAATTCAGGATTCTCATCGTCTTAAGTTTTTCGATTCTAAATTAATAATTTGTATAATATTCAATGAATTTCTTTTTTTTTAAAATGTGTATTGTACTGTAGCTCTACCCTAGTTTTCATATGACTATCCATTAAAGGAAGGTTGTTTCGTAACAGATAATCTTAAATGTTAATTTACTATAGATCTGAATGGTGTAATCGAAGAAATACCAAACATATCTCAACTATTGTGTCTCCCAGACTAGCTAATGGAAATAGACTGTCAAATCATGTTACTTCTTTTGCACTGATTTGTACCCAACCACTTCAATTTTTTTTGTTTTCGATAGAGTAATCAACTACCTGCAAATATCGATGGAAACTTGAACAACTAAACCATAGTATAAATATACAATTTCATAAAGCACAACCAATTGGTAAAATAAGTTGAAAAGGAAAAAAAGAAGCTCATGAAGATTCTGATTGCCGTTACTGGTTAGTACCTTCTACGTCAATTTAGATAAAAGTCAAGATAATGTAAAACATTTTTCATAGCTAATCCAGAAAAAAAAAATATGTGAAACTTGTAAAAAGCATCTATCTTTGCTTGTGAATGAAAAAGTTAATAAGACAAGATAAACAAGAAACGGAGCATCAACAGTCTACACATATCAATTTTTATCATTAACAACAGATAACAGATGAATTACAGTTTAGTAATTTGTATGATAACAATGACAACAAATTTTACCCTGTTTTCCTCCATTGTATTTTTTTTTTTGACTTGAGAGTCTATCGAAAACACAGTCAGTCTATACTCTCCAGATCTCACTTGTGATACGACAGTGAGTATGTTATTATTGTTTTCTCCATTAGTCCAGTAATTCGTCATGGGTGAAAATCCTGGAGGGAACAGCAAATCGAGCTGAGAAGGAACGAGAAAGTTCATCAGCATCGGTCGAAATTGAACCTTGATCGAAATTCTGCGAATAAGAATGAGGATCATATGAAAACCACATTGAATTTGAACAATCGTAAATCCGCTTCTTCTCTTTCTTCATCTTCCTCCATATCAGTCTCCAGATGGGCGTTCTGCTTGATCTGTTCGCCGGCAACTTATAGGATACCAAACGGTCGTATTCTCTACCGGAGTAACACCGCCTCCAGCAGAAGTTTACATCGTCGGAATCACACCATGCTCCGGCATCCATTAGAGTAGACAGAACAGTTTGTGTGTGATCTGAAAGTTTTTTACTTTTGTGACAGTTTTGGAAGCTAAAGTATAAATGCATGAGGGAAACAGAGTGGGACTGCATATATATAAACGGCAAGATGTGTACGAATTTTTTACCAAAGTAAGTCATTATTAAAATTATAGCTAAAACATGACTTAGAGTAAAGTTTCTTTGGAATGACTGAAAATTGAAATGCAATTTTGTACCTGCCTCATTCATTATTCAAATTTCCACTATTAAAATGAATATATCTATTCATTTTAATAGTGGAAATTTGAATAATGAATGAGGCATGTACAAGATTGCATTTCAATTTTCAGCTATTCCAGAGAAACGTTAATGCGAGTCACACTTTAGATGTAAAACGTAATTCACAGTAACGAATTATAAAACGTTACTGACAATAATGTTTTATATATGTTTACTCTGTCAGATTTTTGTCTTTGTGTTATTGATTTTTTTTAAAATAAAATATAACCTAAAACATTAGTGAAAACTACGTTTATACTAGTTATGTAAAATTTCAAAAAAACATACTATTTTGGTGAATTGATTTTAATAATGGCCTACTTTGGTCAAAAGTTCTGATGTGTACACACTGTTGAAGGTTTTTTTTTTTTAATCTTTACTATAAATAATATTTATACTCCATGCATTTGAATTGAAAAGGCATTCGGTCATAAATTTTAAATATTTTTTCGTATATTTGAAAATTATGAAGTTGAAGATAAAGTAATGTTTATTTATACTTTTTTTGAAATAATATTCGTGTTTGAATATACTCAAATATAACTTCAAAATAAAAGTGAGTTGAAAAATAATGAATTTTAAACTTTTGTGACCAAACAAATATTTTCAAATAAAGTAAAACTTATTCCAAAAAAATGAGTAATTTTTTGTGATCGAATGGGCCCTAGCGTATTAATTTGACTGTGCATAAATTTTAAAAAAAAAAAGTTTGTTAAATCTTAATATTTTAAATTTAAAATGTATAATCACAGTAACACAAAATTATCTTTTAAATATTGTGATTTTAACATGACAAGATCTTGTAAATAATAAGGAATTATTACATATATTATTTAGAATTTTGTCTGAGACTAATAATTTTATTGAGATTCTTTGATCATCAAATTCATTTGTGAGATAACACTAATATATTATTGTTGTTGAACTAGTTGGTGACAAAAATAATGGAGCTCTTAATAACTCTCCATCCCAATCTTCAGTTTTAGCTGGAAAAAAAAGTTTTGGGGAAGAAAAAAAAACTTATTTGTCTGAATTGAAAATTGATGAGAAGATGATTACTGCTTTGGAGTTATTGATTAAAAAAATAGTGCACCTACATTTGAAGAATATATGAAAAAATTAGATGGACTTGGATAGGAAGAGTCATTATACAGTACATGTGTTAGTATATTTTGTGAAAGTATCCGCTACAAAAAAGCATGAATGACGTTAGAGGTTCACAAGTTAGAGAATTGGATTAAGGTTATCGAAAAAAAGATAAGAATTCTTTAGTTTTTCTAATTAGCCAAAATATATGTTAGGCGTTGATAATGTGATACCTTATTTATTATTTTTCAACTAGTACTTATCATACTTATTGAACTTTTTGATATTATATTGTGCCTATAAAATACTTTTTATTCGTGATTTTTTTTATAATATGCTTAATGATTATGATATTTTTTTAATCAAAAAGTAATATTTTTTGTTGAAATGAATTTTTTATAACATTTTATTAATATAATGTTTGATTCATATGCACATTCAAATATTGAAAACAAACAATAATCATTCAGTGTTTAGATTTGGAGACCGCATCTTAATATTCAGATGCGTATTCAGATATAGACACCTAGCTCTTAATGCAAATTTTAATGTTCAGACGTGTATTCAGATTCAGATGTCTTAATCTTAATGAAAACAAATGAGGCATTTAGGGGTCGTTTGGTAGAGTGTATTAGGAAAAAAATGCATGCATTAGGTGTGTGTATTAGTAATACCTTGTTTGGTACACTTTTTCATGTCATGTATAACTAATGCAAGCATTAATTATACACTATATTGTGTATTACTAATACTAAGAAATCCTAGGTATTAATAATACATATCATTTTAACACTTGCATTAGAATATATAATTACAAAATTACCCTCAAAGCCTTTAAAAAAAATATCTCCATTTTCCATAGTACTGTGTTTTAGAAACCTTTCATCTTCTCTGTGGCTGCTAAACCTTTTAAAAAAACATCTCCATTATTTATAAATTTGATTGTTAGTAATACTTTTTTGTATTTCAATTGCACTAGGAAATAGGATATGTGGCTGCTAAAGCATATGCCCAGACTCCTAATATATATAAAGTGCATATACTGATTTTAATAGGGTATCGCTTTACAGTTAGGAATTATCTCAGGTCTATGCTGCCTATGTCGCCCTTATTCATCAGTTTTTATTTTTTATTTTTGGACTCGTTTTATCTCAAAAAAAATTGAGGCTAAGCTTAGCAAGATATGTGATCGAATTTTGAGCTTAGCAAAATTGACATCTTCTTCTTTTTTTTTAAAATCTTATTTCAATATAGTTTAATCAAAATATTTACCATTGTGACGATTTAGTTTGATAAAAAATTTCTTTGCCAACTTTCCACAAAAATATTTTGACTCAATAGTAACAACTATTTAATTTTATATTTGAAAAAAAAAGAAGAGAGGAGTTAATAATGTTTTAACAGAGAAATCTTTTTTGATGTTTTAGCAAAGAATCTTGTTGCAAAGGAAATGTACAAAGAAATAAAGTGTGAAGGGTATTTTTGTAAACATACATTTTTTTAATGGAAATTAAGCAAGATTTGTTATTTCTAATACATCAAACCAAACAGTGTATAAGAAATAATGCAGACACTATTAATGCATGCATTACTAATACACCATATTTTGCATTATTCTTATACACTCTACCAAACGACCTTAGTGTTTGGTGAAAAATGGTTGAGCAGTGGCAAGAGACATGCTCAAGGACATACTATTCATATACTTTAGTAAAGTTTGTACTTTCCTCGTTTAAAAAAGAATGAACTAATTTGACTTCATATATATTTTACTAGAAAATAAAAAAATATTTTTTTAATCTTGTGGTTTTAAATTAAAACTATGTCAAATATACTAAAATGATCTTTAATCTTAAAAGTTATGACCTTATTTATGTCACACGAAAAACTGAAATTAAAATGAAATTAAAATGTGAAAAAAAGAAGAAGAGGAAAATGATCATTTCTTTATTGTCTTCCTTTTTTGAAATGGAGAGAGTATTTTGTTTTGTCCTTTTCCTTTTTACATTAATAACTGAGTTAATGAGAATATCCAACTTGTCAGTTGTGAATCTAATAATCTATTGTTATTTGAAGTCAGATTGTTACAACTACAACTGAAATTGCAAAGTTATAAACGGAGTAATTATTGAGCGGATCAAATGGCTAGGAATTTATTATTTTTGTGTCCACAAAAAGTTATGAATTGGGCCTTCTACCTTGGAACAAAGAGGCAATACTCATGAAGTGACCTTTCATTGTTTCCCAAGATTGTTTGTCCCTTTGTTTTTCAATTTTGAAATGAAATAAATTTACATAAAAGGAAATTAAATATGAAAGATTGATATAACAATTCTAACTAATTTGAGATTCATGAATGGTGAATGATGTAATATTATTATTCCTTCTATTTCAAAATAAGTGTCGTTTTAGCTCATTTCACGTTCATTAATAAAAAATAAGACTAAATACATATATGTGTTCTTTAACTTGGATTCAACTAGTATCTATATCATCTAACTTTAGATGTGCACAAGTAGACACTTAAACTTGTATAAAGTTGAACAAGTAGACACACACGTCCTACGTCACATAGGATGCATGTGTCTACTTGTTCAACTTTGTATAAGTTTAACTGTCTATTTGTGCACATCCAAAGTGGGAGGACATAGATATCACCTGAGACTTTTACTTCATGGTCCTATTACCCTCTGAACTTTTTATTTTTGATAGTTTGTGATCCTTAAACGTTGACTTGTCCAAGAAGGTGAATACACCTCTTGTAGGCGCGTAAGGGTTCAACAAAACGACATAAAATGACTAAAATTGAATTAAATAGTCCATGTGACAGTCTCTCATTGGAGATTATATAACTAATTCATTTTTTCTAATTCTTTCCTTTTTCTTATATCACAAAATTATTATATCCATTTCATGATTTCTTCAAGTTTTTCTCAAAGTCCTTCAATGATGGTCTTCTAAATTTCGTCTCTAGGAGCTCCAAATCAAATTGTAGCTACTGTTTATGCTTAGTTAATCATACATCAATTGTTTTTAGCAACAACAACCACCTAACTCATAAGAAACTTTCATATATATATGAAGCTCAAAAATGGAGTTCAAGTTTTTTCTTAAACCAATCATAATTTTAGCAAAAAAAAAAAAAGAAAAAAAAAAAAGTCAAACCACAATGAACCAACAATGGTGAATTTGAAATTTCATTTTTTAATTTCATTCTTACCAAATTTATTTTTCACTCCCACATTTGTGAATTTTTATTTTTGGGTTCGATTTCAAATTGAAAGTTTATGTAGACTAGCTATGGAGTTCTTCTTCTTCTTTGATTTGGTGTAGATAATTTTTTCCTCATTTTCTCTTATTATTCTCTAAAGAAATCATTAGTATTTTAAAAAAACAATCTCTATTTGAAAGCATTTTTGTAAATTTTAATTTCCAGGTTTGATAAAAATGGAAACTTTACATAATTTTACAGGGAATTATTAAATTATTATTTTGAGTAGGTTTATAATTTACACGAAAAAAAGAAAAAGAATAAAAGAAAATGAATGTGCATCGCGTGTTCTGCACAACTCTGGCATAAAACTGGTTATGACTTTTTAGGGAGGTGATTATTCCATATTTAAATAGTTCAGGGATAATAAGACCCCCGTATAGAATAAGTGTGTAGTTGAGAATTGGCTAATAGATTGAGGAAGCTTTTGACTATTTTC